TCAGATGATTCTTTCTCTCCCTTCTTAATCCTCCTCCTCCATTCTCCATATGTTGGGTGTTTTGCTCTGTGCTCTTTTTAGGGGTGCTCCCATCTAGAGCAGTCCGTCTAAAATAACCTGTAGTGGTGGTTTGTGGAAGGCAAATTCCCTCAACTTTTGCTTGTCTGGGAATTGTTTAATCCCTCCTTCATATTTAAATGATAATCGTGCTAGATACAGTATCCTTGGTTCAAGGCCCTTCTGTTTCATTGCATTAAATATATCATGACATTCTCTTCTGGCCTGTAAGGTTTCTGTTGAGAAGTCTGATGATAGCCTGATGGGTTTTCCTTTGTAGGTGACCTTTTTTCTCTCTCTGGCTGCCTTTAATATTCTGTCCTTGTCCTTGATCTTTGCCAATTTAATTATTATGTGTCTTGGTGTCCTCTTTGGGTCCCGTCTCTCTGGAGTTCTGTGTGCTTCTGTAGTCTGTGCGTATATTTCCTCCCCCAGTTTGGGGAAGTTCTCAGAAATTATTTCTTCAAAGACAGTTTCTATCCCTTTTTCTCTCTCTTCTTCTTGTGGTACCCCTATAATGCGGGTTTTGTTCCTTTTGGATTGATCACACAGTTGTCTTAATATTGTTTCATTCCTGGAGATCCTTTTCTCTCTACGTCAGCTTCTATGAGTTCCTGTTCTCTGGTTTCTATTCCATCAATGGCTTCTTGCATATTATCCATTCTGCTTATTGATCCTTCCAGAGATTGTTTCACTTCTGTAATCTCCCTCCAGACGTCATCCCTTAGCTCTTGTGTATTTCTCTGCAGCTCCGTCAGCATGTCTATAATTTTTATTTTGAATTCTTTTTCAGAAGTCTGGTTAAGTCTATCTCCTTCTCAGGGGTTGTGATTTTGGTATGTGTCAAATTCTTTTGCCTTTTCATGGCTGTAGAAATAGTTTGCGGAGCTGGTGCAAGTGATGGCTGGGAGAACGTCCCTTCTTATTCGTTTGTCCCCTTCCTCTCTTGGGAGAACAGTGACCTCTTGCAGATTTTGCTGGGCAGCTCTGCCCAGACAGGGCTTCTGATTCTTGCCCGGCCGCTATGGAGTTTAGCTCCACAGTTGCTGTGGGGTGGCCTACCTCGGGCTGCTGCTCCAATGTGGCTGAGCCGCATTGGAGGGGAAATGGCTGGGAGGCTGTTTATCTCCATGAGGGGCCTTCCAGCTGCCCTGCTGCCCAGGGGGTTAGGGGTGCCCAGAGTTCTCCGGGATTCCCGGCTGCTCGCTAAGTGTCCCGGGATGCTTCCATCCTGCTGTGGGGTCCCTGGTCCGTTTAAGACTTTGAAAAAGCACTCGCTTTTCTTTGTCCCAGGGGTGCCGGCTGCGGGGACCCGCTCAAAGGTCTTACTTTCCTGTTTTCCTAGTTTCCAGCACCCCATGCACGCACTGTGTCTGCGCTCTGGTGCGGATGGCTAGGGCTTGCTCTTTAGCAGTCCTGGGCTCCCTCTCCCTCCCCACTCCGACTCCTCTCCTCCCACTGGGAGCTGGGGTGAGGGGCGCTCAGGTCCCGCCGGGCCGTGGCTTGTATCTTACCCCCTTCACGAGGCACTGGGTTCTCGCAGGTGTGGATGTAGTCTGGCTGTTGTCCTGTGTCTTCTGGTCTCTCTTTTAGGAAGAGTTGTATTTGTTGTATTTTCAAAAATATATGTGGTTTTGGGACGAGATTTCCGCTGCTCTACTCACGCCGTCATCTTGGCTCCTGTATGTATAACTTTTAAGTGGTGTGTTTAGACCTTTTTGATATAGTTGGATTAAAATCTACCATTTTGCTGTTTTCTGTTTGTTACATCATTTATTCTGTTTCCTTTCCTAATTTAAGTTAGCATTTTTGTTTTCATTTTCTCTTCCATTGACTTATCATTTATATTTTTTAAACTACCTTTTTTAATGAGTTTTTTCTAGGATTAATAGTATATATTTCAAATTTTTAATCTACCTTCAAATAATTTGCTGTTTTATGTATAGTGAAAGCACATTATAATTGTATGTTCCCAATTCTTTCTGTCTCTTATGCATTATTTTCATAGATTTTACTTTACATATGCTATGTACACCGAATCAATCCATTGTTACTGTGATTGTTTTAACTCTTTTCATTTTTAAGATGGCTACTAGACATTATTAAATTGCATGTGTGGCTCGCATTGTATTTCTGTTGAACAGTGCTGCTCTACAATGCTGGTTATCACCTATCCTTCTACCGAATAACTCCTGCCATCTGTCTTTCAATCCTGTTGCTGGTCCTGTTCATTATATCACATTCCATTCTGAAGTCTTCCTTCTATCTCTGAATCTAGGTAGTGTTTCCTCACTTTTTATTTCTGGTGTGTAGACTTTTAAGGACTTCTGGCTTTTGCAAAGCTTTAAAGGGAATAGGAGAGTAGGATTAAAATTGGAAGGGAACTATGATATATTTTCTTGAAGACTTGTGCAAATCATGTTTCCTATCTTCCTGACATTTATTGTCTATACCATTTTTCTCAAAGTGTGGTCCCAAGGACCATGTAAAAAAAAACAGCCAGAATTTAGGGCCCAGGAATTTAGGTGAGGATTATGTACACTGAAGTTTGAGGCCCTGCCTTTGGCATTTATTGTCATGGATTGTAGTCATTTAGGAATAAATTTCATCTTCCTACTATGTTGTCATTGGATAGATTTGTTGTATTAATCATCTCCAGATTTACCACTTACATTTTCCTTTTTTAATTATTTCCTGCTATGTTGTCATTGGATAGATTTGTTGTATTAATCATCTCCAGATTTATCACTTCTTTTCCTTTTTTAATTATTTCCACTTAATCTGTAGTTGAACTGCTTTCAACACATTTGCTTCTTTGCTTGGTTTACTCACATGTAGCACCATCTAGTGGTGATAGGGGGTAACTTTCATTCCCCAAAGTTTAACTCTGGTCCTATGGGATGACTTTGATATAGGGAGACTTAGTGAGAGAAAGAAACCATCAGTGAATTTTAAATGTATGTTGTAGCTGGCATTGGTTTTATATCAGGGTTTTATTATAGTGTATTACATGGGCTATATGTATAGTTTGTCACATCCCAATATAATTTCCTTTTAATTACTAGAAAACTTTATAGTTCACTTTTTGCTTTATTACATTTATAATTTTTATGATTCATTCTATGTTATAGGCAAGGAAAAACTGCTTAAGAACAGAAATTACTGAATGGTTTAGGGACTCGACTGAGTAGAGGCTATAGTACATGCACCTTAAGAACATAGTGTAGTGGAAGGAATAAAACATGTAGACAGATTTCAATTTAAAAAGTGTATAGTTAATATTCTAAGAGGTACGAAGTAAGCATCATATCTACAGGAGGGCTAGGAGAGATTTTATGAGAAAAGAGACATTTTCAAAGGTCATTGAATAGCAGATGTAATGTCAGTCTGCTGTGAAAAGATATGGCCAAAGCATCCATTCTCAACGTCAGAGATTAATTAAGAACATGGGCTTTGGAGCCAGAGTGCCTGGGCTCAGATATACTATTTTTGAGCTGTGTGATCTCGGGCAAGTTATATATCCTTTGAGTCTGAGTCTTCCATTTTAACAATGTTTCTCTGTTTTCCTATAGGAAATCCAAGGATATAATCAGCAAAACTACTTCTCATAGTAAAAAGTTTTGTGCTGATTCTGATGGCTTGTCACAGGAACTCAGATATTTTAACCAAGAAGGTTCAAAATTGGTTGAAGAGTCTGTGAAACACTGTGATAAACTCAATAGCAACCTTGAAATAGTATCTCAAGAGACTGAACAGAGATGTGAGGCACTGAAAGCAAGCACACTTTGTTTTTCTGAACAGTGGGTATCTTGCTTAAATAAAAGGGAAGAGGAACTTCAGAATTTATTGGAGGTAATAACTTTGTAACTGGAACATACTTTGGAGAGAAGAGTGGTAGTCAGAAAATTAAATATTCTCTGCTAAGAATTGGTTTCAAAATAAATGGTATTTTAAAATATAATGAACAACTTAAAATTTTCTGTATAACAGTTGGTCTGATTATACTTGATCTTGTTTCATGTGTATATCTTTCCCATCTTCGAAATTATTTAATATTTGTCTGATGTGTTCTGCGTCTATTCTTGGTTTTTGACTTATAGTTCCTTCATTTAAGGGCACCCTGTCTTTTGATATATAATACCTTCCAATTTTTACTTTTCTCTAGGTACATTCAAACCTGTTACTGCTTTAAGTATTTAGGATATTGTTCTGGTTGCTCAAAGGATACTTGATAGGTTTGTGGGTTTGAACTTTACACTTGCATGAGCCCTTTGTGGCTTGGTTTTTCTTTCCATGCAATAAAAGGATTTTACTAATATTCTCAGGAATTTGGTAAAAGAATGTAAGTATTTTAAGCTATATAAGCTGTTTTCACTAAAAGAAACCAGGGCTAATAGAGAAATAGCTGATTTCAGGTTTGGAGCAGGAAATGTATCAGATGAGCCTAGAGATCTTATCACACCATAAAGTAAGGAAGCTATTTTAGATTAGTAGGGTTGTGTCAAAAAGACCCAGGAGCCAACCTGATGACACTCCCTTGTGTAAAGATGGTATAGTGTGAGGAAGAATAATTGTTGCAATAGATTAAAATGCATCAAATACATTAAAACTCATGAATTCATAAAAATTTCATTGGTCTCCTTTGGATTATGGTAGAGAAACAATGCATTAGTCTGAAAACTAATAAATAAAGGGAGACAAGCATCCATCTGCCTTTCCCAAAAGAATTATACTTGGTTTACCAGAGTGAAATAGATGAAGAAAAGTGTTTCACAGAAGAATTCCAGCTAATAGGATGAAGAAGAAATAATAGAATATTACTATTTTGCAATCCCTAATGAAATAACCCGTGTGGACATTAATAATTGCTTACATGATTTGATCAAAAGTTTATGGAGAACATTATTATTAATAGGGTAACTATACCCAAACCCACTGATTAATCTTGCCATGAGAGACACACCAGGCATTATGCGCTTTCAGTGCCACCTGTGAAATGTTCTTGCCAAAAGTTAAACCTGATCTAGATCAAGCCTTTGAATCTAGCTAGTTTTAGAAAATACAGAGGACAAACATATGGAAATGTAGCATAGAGATGCAATTGACCAAATCCAGAATTTGAGATATTCAATAGAGCAGAGGTCTGGTTTCTTCAACAACAAAATTTATTTTCAAGGAGAAAAGTATGAGACAGGGTAACCTATATCAAAAGAGAGTTAAGACTAGGAGGGTGTTGAGTCCTCATTTCCCTGAGATAGTCTACATCTGTTGCATTAGGGTAATTATTATTAAGAATGGCCCTTTACTCTTGAAAGTATCCCAGTTTGGATGATAAATTGTATAGTTACCTACTTCAGAGATTATCAGCCAAATCTAATGATAAGTTCTGATTCAAACAAACCAATTGTGAAAAACATTTGACACAAATACTGAAATTTGAACACTGACTAGACATTGGATATAAACCAAAAATAAATCAATGTTAAACTTCCGAGATGTGAGAGTGGTCTTAGGCTCTTAACTCCTAGAGAAGTATGCTGAAATAATGGATGAAATTATATAAGATTTGCTTCAAAATAATCTTGTGGGGAGAAGGAGTAAGTGGTCAACCTTGTTTGATCAGTACCCCATGGGTTGATAAATGGTAAGACTGGGTAGTGAATAAAAGAGGTTTACTTATACTAGTCTCTCTACTTTTGTATGCTTAAAAAAAAACTTATTAAGAAAAATTTCAAGGTAGGGGGAAATGATATATTGAATATAGTGACCACTCAGATTTTAATAACAAAAGCTCATTTGGCTCCTTTACAGGTTGTAAACCAAGGTTGTGAGGCTTCAAGTTCAGAGATTACTGAAAAATTAAGTGGACATAAAGCAGCTAATGAGAACCAGCATAACATTTTTCTTGGTCAGATAAGCACTGATGAAGAAAAATTAATGGCACAAAGTCTAGAACTTAATGAAACCATAAAAATTGGTTTGACAAAGCTTAATTGCTTTCTGCAACAGGATCTGAAACTGGATGTCCCAACAGGTACTACTAAAAGGGAAAGTGAACTGCTAAAACAATTTTTTTTTTAACTCTCTTATTGACATATAGTTGACATATTAGTTTCGGGTATACAGCATAGCGATTCAACAATTATATACCTTACAACATGTTTACCACAATAAGTGTAATTATATCTTTCAACATACAGAATTAATGCAGTATTATTGACTGTATTTCCTATGCTGTACTTTTAATTTCTGTGATTTATTTTATAATTGGAGGTTTGTACCTCTTTATACCTTTTACCTTTTGTTCCCATCCCTATACTACTCTTCCCTCTGGCAACTACCAGGTTTTTCTCTGTATTTATGAGTTCGTAAGATTTTTAAAGTTCAGCCTTTTACAGTGCTAGGTGTTCAGAAAAACTAGGTTCTGCCATTGCCTGATAAGGATTTACCATCTTACTGTAATCAACTCATATGGAAAAATTGGAACGTTAAAATAGCTTTAATTAAGCATTAGATGTCATAATATAGGTGACATACACTTCTAGAAATTTGGCCATTACAATTCAGTAAAATTTTATACACATTCAGGAAACTAACTTTGTTAAGAGAGGATATTTTAAAAGCAAACAAAAACCCAGCTAACCATCAATCTGGCACTGTTTATAAAAGGACATTTTAATACCAAAAATAGTGGAGGGATGCAATTAAATAAGTCTAGTTTAATGCAGAGTTCCCCACATTGTGCATTTTCTTATGTGTACCTCTCATTTTGCCATGGACTATTACATTGGCATTTAGGAGTCACCATTCTGGGAGGTCAGAGATGGCAAAAAGATCAGTTGTAAACTATTGATTCAGGGAAGCCTTCTTGGAAGAAGGGGAAGAAGGTATAACAAGATATTTAACACTTGATGAGTGTTAATTAAGTTATTTATTAGATTGTGTATATTATATATAATATATATATATACATATTTGTGTGTATTTAAGTTATTCATCAGATTGTGATATTTGTTGCATGCCCTATAATTTTACTGAAAAATTACTGAACTTTATAGTATGTAAACTATACTTAAAAAGTTTTTTTTAAGCTATTACAAAAGAAGATGGTACTAAAAAATGTTAATTTTCCCCTCAAGAGTCCTGTAATATTTATTGTCCACTCCTCAATGAAATTAGAACTACAAGTGTTAAGCAAAAAGGCAAGTGCATTGTAAATGATGAGCGCATGAGTTCATTACAGTTGACTCTTGAACAATGTGGGGCTTGCGGTGCTGATGCCCCACAGTTGAAAATAGGTGTATAATTTTTGACTCCCCCAGATCTTAATTATTAAAAGCTTTCTATTGACCAGAAGCTTTACCAATAATATAAAGTCAATTAACATTTTATGTTATATGTATTATGTACTGTATTCTTACAGTAAGCTAGAAAAAAGAAAATGTTTCTTTAAATTGTCTTAAATCTCCTAAAACTTTTCTAATACATTTATTGAGAAAATCACATAAAAGCAGACCTACTCAGTTCAAATCCACGCTGTTCAAGGGTCAATTATATAAAGAAATGTAACTTGTTAATACTTAGCTGCCACCAAGTTTACGCTGAAATGATTATCCCTATCAAAGTGATTCTGTTGGGAAAACTGTGCTCTAATTTCAGTAATGCTGCCATTTCTCAGAGCACCCTGATTCCTTTTAGAGTTTATACTATATCTTTTGTACATCCTGAGATGAAAAATTTCATGTTTTGGGGTAGGTTGAATCTTGAAAATATTTGAATCTACGTAAGAGCAGTTGTCATTAGGAAATATTAGTTATAAGCAGTAAATGCTTAACAGGTAGTAAAACTGGTTCTTGTGTGGCAGTAGTTATACTTTTGGAAGACAAAGACTCATTGGGCAGTATAAGGTCTAGCATTTAAAAAAGAAATCTTACTCTTATCCCACACTTCAATTTTTTCCACTTATATAATGCCCATTAAAGGTATGACACCACAGAGGAAGAATTATTTATACCCATCAACACTGGTGAGAACTGAACCACGTGAACAGCTCCTTGATCAGTTGAAAAGGAAACAGCCTGAGCTGTTAATGATGCTAAATTGTTCAAAAAACAACAAAGAAGAGATCAATCAGGTAAGTAAAATTAAAAGCATCATAATTTTAGAACTTTCAGAAACTTCTCAAGTCATCAACTTCATGTGAAGAATTTTATTCTTTGCTCTTTAATCCTTCTCTGTCTTTCATTAATGATAGTTGTATATCCTTAAGCCTACTTGTTTTAATCTGGCCATTGTTTTTTATTTGAATAATAGATAATAAAATAGCCAATATTTATGTTTTGCTTATGTCTAGACACTGTTCTATGCACTTTATAAAAATAAATTTATATTTACTCAGTTAATTCCCTCAACCCTCTAAGGTGGACGCTAGTACTCTTCCCATTTTACAGTTGAGGAATCTAAGAATTATCTTGTACCAAATTACAAGGTTGAAATTGGAATTAGAACTTAGACAAGCTCCACAATTTATGCTATTAACTATAGTAGTTATTGAAAAGTTGGGAAATGAGAAAGTAAGAGAGAAAGAATATAAAAAATAAACTGCAATACCATTATTCTGAGATTGCCATTTTTAACATTTTTATTATAGGTATTTATTATATGAAAACATTAGGGATTATTTCATTATGTTGTAGGCTTTCTACTAATTTTTTTTTTTACTTTCCACTAATTTTGTTGAGGTTTGACTTTTTCTGTAATGGGCATTGTGTTATTTTTCAAAGAAGAAAACTTGTGTGAAGATTTTTAAGCCTTTGGATTTACTCACTCACCCAGCTTCCTATTTTAGGACTTGGATGAAGAAAAGGAAGTTCTGGAGCACACTAATGAGGAGCCGCTAAGTCAAAAGCCATCTGTAGATGCTGGAATGGATTGTTCATCAGGTGGTGGAGTTCCATTTTTCCAGGTACCTGGGCATATCCTATCAGATACCCTTCCACATTTGATATAAGTCAGTCATTTGCTATTTAACATAAAGGCATTCCTCTTGGGGGGTGGAAGAGCAAAATATTCCAAGTAATTCCTTGTGGATGACTTGTTAACTTTTCTGATTTAAACAATTTACACAAATACGATAATTGACTAGGGGTTTTCTACAGGATAAATAAAGGCAAAGTTTGACTAAATCTTTTTATCCTCAGCTCATAATCTTCAACTGTTATATTCATCTCCTTTCTGCTTCCTTCATACTCAGAATGGATACAGAAAGAGGTCATTTCTCTCTTTGCTCCACCCTTGACTTGGAAGTCCTGGAGCCTATCTCTGCCCATGATCAGACTCTTGAAGGATAAGAGGTTTAAAAGATTTGAGAACCAAAAGCCTCAGGTTATATTGCTGATCTCCCGTTTGAAGCTTTTCTTTTGTCAGCTATTCCCCCATGTTTCCTGAGCTCCTCACCAGCCATGATCTTATCCAATTAAGTGCTGTGACCTCTCCTACCTGCTTTTAAACACTGTTGGGAGTATGGCAGTATAAACTACTTAACATCTTTCTGTCTATTTTGAAAACATGAGCTTAGACAGAGTCTGTGAGTAAGAATTTCCTTACATAAGTCATTGATGTCTATATTTTGCAGTTGAAGTGCTGCTACTTATATGTATATGCTTATGCTGGTCTTTAACGGACTTGAAGGTCTTTCCATCAAGGTCTAAAGATTCTCCATCCCTGATTTAAGATGTTAAAACTTGTAGCTCAGATTCTGTGAAATTCCTCCCTATCTGCCTCAAAGCAATTCTGTCCTACCTTTTGCTTTACTCTTTAGTATTAGAGAACTCTAAATATATTTCTTCCCATTGTTCAACCTTCTCTTCTATCTTACAAAGTTAAGAAAAGGGGGAAAGTTAAGAGAACCATAGTGACTACTTAATTCCTGGTTGAAAATCTTTTCCTTTCTCCCTGTTAAGAGCCACTGTCCTAAAGTAAGATCTTTAGGAAAGTCATGCAGAAGGTGAATATTTCTTTCATCCCACTCTTTCTCTTGGTGGTAAAATGAGAAGATGTTCATTGCTTTGTCAGGTTGTTGGTTCAAATTTGTTGCTGAGCTTTTTCACACTTCACAGTTTTTCACACTTATGATATGTGTGTGAAACCCAGAGAACTTTGAAAATCTTTATTTCTAGCTAGTATGTATCAAACATTACTTTATATTGACTTAATTTCTCCCCTTAAATCCACAGCATAAAAAACCACATGGAAAAGACAAAGAAAATAGAGGCATTAATGCAGTGGAGAGGTCTAAAGTGGAAGAAACGACTGAGCATTCTGCTACAAAGAGCAGATTACCTCTCCGAGCCCAGATAAATCTTTAGTTAACCTGAGGGTTGGTAATTTTATTTTTAAGAAAAATGAAAAATAACACCTGCAACCCCAGGACTTGAGCCTTTTGTATATATATAAATGAGTAGAAAATACCAAGGCTGTACTGTAAATTTTGTTGAATTTAATATCTATCCAGTTTTCTGTCATCCCTGCAGTTCACTGTGTATTAAATTGGGTTTCCTTTAGGATTTGCATTGAGTAAATATGTATTTCGAACTTTTGATATAAAACAGCCCTTTCATAACGAATGAAAAATATTTTTCTTACATATTAATAAATGGCAGATAAACAGAAGCTGCAGTGTTTTTCTAGGCTTGAACTTACATACACAAGTACCACCAATGCACCATCTCAGAAACGACCATCTTCTTTTCCTGATGTGATTGAATTATGTCTGTATTTGCTTGCCTCATTCCCTAGACCTTTCCATTCTGCCTTAGCCCACTTTCTTCCTTTTTTGTCATTTGTAGAGCTACAAAATGGTACCCATTTTTATTGTATGATACCAGAATTTTACCTAGAAATCACTTCTCTGTTGTTATCTCCAAAATTAGTCAACAATAAATAACTTTAGAAGTACCTCTTCCTTTAAAATATTTAATTTTTTTCCTCCTATATATGACACAATTTCATTCCTTTATAAAGTCCAACATATTAGCCCCAACAGAGTTCACAAAAAGCCAGCTTCTCCAGAATATTAGGGAACCTACCTAGCGCTCTGATTAATGGCTATGTGGCCCTATTTTGAGGCCTGTGTCCTTTGCAAAAGGTAACAGTGATATAAGAACTTTTAGAAGCTATTAATTATGACTATAATTTAAATTCTTTTGTTTACCTGATGGAACTTTTTGTTGTTATTATAATAAAATAGGTATATGTATATTTTTCTCTGTTGAAATCTTAACCTTTAAAAGGGCCCTGACAGTTTAGACCTGGCAGCCGAATTTCCAGAGATGGAGATGTTTCAGAATGAAGGACTAGAGCACTTAGGTGGAATATATGCAAAGAATGAATTATATGCCTACATCAAGTTAAAATGTATACATTTAGAGATTGGCTTTCGGTAACTAAGTAAAGCCAAACCTGTTGGAGAATTAAAAGATACACAATTTTGAAGAACTAAATTTACCTTGCAGAAGTAATTATCTTAATAAAAATAATGATATTATTTCTCTGCAAAATCGGATGTCAACACAAGCTATGGATGATACTATAAACTGATGATACAGTAATAAAATAAACTGTTCTCAGTAAATCCAAGATGAATAAATTTGGTTTCTACATTAACTTGCTTGTCCCCTTATTTCTTATTTGGCAATGGTATATTTACAGAGTTAAGCAAGTTGTATGGTAATTTCTAAAATAAACTTCTACACAGGTACCACCTAGGAAGAATGGCCTTGGTAAGTGCCCCAGGCTTCCAGTGCACTCCAAGGGGCTACACCTTAGTATGAGATGAAAGAACAGATTGGCGTCCATAGGGCCTAAAGCCAAGCTTTAAGTCATCTTATTCCCTGAATGTTTTACAGTTATCTAGGAATGCTAATGCAATGAGTTAAATAGTTTAACTAGTTTAACAGTTTTCCTGACAGAAACAAAAAGAAATCTCATGAGAATTTTAACATCTAGAACCTTAAACTATAAAGTAGCTCTACAAATTTTCATATACAACATCAAGCACTCAAAAAATGATGATCAGCAAAAACAGAATAGGTAGATTCAAGAACCCATTCCTCTTCAGAGGTGCAAAAACACTCAGAAACAACTTTGTCAGAGCTCTGGAAAGCAAAATATTTGCAGCAACCAAGCAGATGCTAAATCACAAAGGCACCCGAAAATCTTTCCTAGCTTTTTGGTGTTTTATTTGCCCTTGCTCCATTTCCCTTCCCGGTTCTGTAGTGGTCTTGAAGACAGACAGCAGCCATGTTCTCAGAGCAGAAGAGATCTTAATCTCAAAAATTATTGTTCTAACCTGTCTGGGATAACTTGAAACATTGGCACTTGCCTTTGTTTCATCTAACTTTGTTGTTAAAGAGAGTATGGGCGAAGATGTGGTACATATACACAATGAAATATTACTCAGCCATAAGAAGAAAACAAATCCTACCATTTGCAACAACATGGATGGAGCTAGATGGTATTATGCTCAGTGAAATAAGCCAGGTGGAGAAAGACAAGTACCAAATGATTTCACTCATCTGTGGAGTATAAGAACAAAGAAAAACTGAAGGAACAAAACAGCAGAATCACAGAACCCAAGAATGGACTAACAGTTACCAAAGGGAAAGGGACTGGGACGAATGGGTGGGAAGGGAGGGATAAAGGCAGGGAAAAAGAAAGGGGGCCTTACGATTAGCATGTATAATGTTGGGGGGGCATAGGGAGGGATGTGCAACACAGAGAAGACAAGTAGTGATTCTACAGCATCTTACTATGCTGATAGACTGTGAAGGGGTATGTGGGGGGGACTTGGTGAAGGGGGGGCGTCTAATGTTCTTCATGTAATTGTAGATTAATGGTAACAAAATGAGTTAAAAAAAGTGTGGAACACAAAGCTTAAAGGGAGTACCAGGAGAAGAGAGAAAGAAAGGGATAAAGAATACTTGAAGAAACAATGGCTGAAAAGTTCTCAAATTTGTTAAAACACTTGAATCTACAACATGGAAAGGTGGCAGCCATTTCTTGAAAATACTGTAAGACAAGTAAGCTCCTGCCACCTGGGGAAAAGATTACAGTTGAGGTAAATAAAGGAGTGCCCAAAACCCGAGAGGAAAAAATGGGAGAGAATTTCTTAGGGAAATTAGGCCATTCAAAAACACCAGTACATCCTGGAGAATCGAGAAATACATTTGTGTCTGGGCCAAGGTGCATGCTTAGAAAAGACCTGAGACGACCCTAAGCTTTCACCGATGGCTGATGTCAGCTCAGCACAAGTAGAGAGTGACTAAGGCAGATTTAAAATGACCTAGCAAAGTGCTGAAGGTGTTCCTCAACACAGCCAATCTGCAAAGACTGGGAGCTTTGTTTTCTCTTTTAAATTATTGTTTTATTTATTTTTTGGCCACTGGCTTTCAAGAAAATCTGTCAACACACTAACTGGACACAGGCAAAGGAAGAGATTTCAGAAACTAAATCAAAGAATTGTGGCTTTGCAAAAAGTTTACAAAAGTCACTAAACAAATTGCTACAACCCACAGCAAGCAACAAACCCTGAGGCATGAAGGATCTGATTTCCAGAGTTTACCACACTTACTACATTTAAAATGTTCAGTTTTCAACAACCTAAAACATGCAAAGAAAGTATGGCCTATTCACAGAAGAAGTTAACATAAGCCATCCCATAGGAAGCACCAAAACTGGACTTTAAATCATTTCAACTGTGTATAGCTAAAGGAATCCCCCAGAACAATGTCTCAACAAATACAAATATCAGTAAAGAAACTATAAAGATGAGACATGGAAATTTGCAGCAAGTATGATAACTAAGGTGGAAAAAGATTAATAAAGGGTTCTAATAACATGTGAACAAACAGGCAGTAGAAAGAGCCTGTGAACTTGAAGCCAGGTCAGTTGAAAGTGTCCAATTGGTGAAGCAGAAAGAAAAAGAATGAAGGAAAAGTAAATAGAGCTTAAGAGAACTGTGGAACACAATAAAGCATACCAACATTTGCATAAAGGGAGTACCAGGAGAAGAAAGGGACAGAAAGAATACTTGAAGAAACAATGGCTGAAAAGTTCTCAAATTTGTTAAAACACTTGAATCTACACATCCAAGAAGCTCAACAAATGCAAATAGCATGAACTCAAAGACACAAACTGTCAAAAGCTGAATACGATCTTGAAAGCAGCAAAAGTGGAGTCTTCAGGGTAATGTGAATCAAGAGCACAATGTGATACCACTTCCCATCCACAAGGATAGCTACAACAAAGACAGAAAAAAACTGTTGAAGATGTTTCATGAAAATCTATATATTGCTGGTGGGAATGTAAAATGGTTTAGTCACTGTGGAAAAAGTTTGGTGGTTCCTAAAAGGTTAAACAGAATTACCATACAACCCAGCAATTCCATTCCTATATATCTTCCTGAAATTCACACAAAAAATTTGTACATAAATGTTCAAAATGTTCATAGGAGTACTATCATAATAACCAAATGGTTTAAACAAACCCAAGCATCCAACAACATGTGCATGGATAAACAAAATGTGGTATACAATGGATTATAATTCACCCATAAAACTGAAAAGTATTGATACATGCTATTATGTGGATAAGCCTTGAAAATAAACTAAGTGAAAATGTCAGATGCAAAAGTAAATATATTGTATGATTCTGTTTATCCAGAATAGGTAAATTCATAGCTATTATGTGAATGAACCTTGAAAATAAGCTAAATGAAAATGTCAGATGCAAAAGTAAATACATTGTATGATTCTGTTTAAATATCCAGAATAGGTAAATTCATAGAAACAGACTGATGGTAGCCAAGGCTTGTTGAGGGGGTTAAAGGGAGTGACTGTTTAATGTGTATGGGCTTTACTTTTGGGATGCTGGAAATGTGTTGGAACTAGATAGGTGTGGTTGTACAGCATTGTGAATATACTAAATGTTGCTGAATTGTGTATTTTAAAATGATTCTTTGAAACATTTTATTTTTTAATTGAGGTATAATTGTCACATAGCCTATTTTGGGTGTACAACATAATGATTTGTATAAACATAGTTTGTATGCATTGCAAAATGATCCCCACAGTTAGTCTTAAAAACGAATCATTTTGTGTTACATGATTTTGACCTAAAGTCATTCAAAATGTAAAGGGAATCTTATCAAAGAAGAGGTAATTGAAAATTGTAGGTAGAATTAATTAGCAGAAAAATGTTCTTAAATGAATGCTACAATTTAAAAATGTGTACATTATGTGCCCGTAAAACACATCTGTTTATACTTCCTTATAAAATAACAGTATACAAAGAGATAGGCCTTGACTGAAAGTCAAGAGAAAAGACACAACAGAAACAAATCACAGAAATTACAGTTAAGTTGCCAAACAAGATCTTTTAAAATTAAGCATTTGAAGAATTTAAAGACCAATGGAGTATTTTGGATGAAAATTGGAAATTACAAAAAGGAATCAGATGGAAATTGTAGAACTGAAAAATGCAATAAATTACGTAGGGAATGGGCTTAAGTTGCTGAATAAATAGTTAAAAACGTTTTTAAAAGTGGATGACAAAAGAAAATAGGTACACTGAAGAACGGCAAGAGAAAAGGGTGAGACACAAAAGAAACAGGATATGTGACAAGGTCTAATGTAGATGCAACTAGAAAGAAGAAGAGAGACTGGGACTGAAGCCCTGTAAATCCCAAGTAGGATAAATACAGTCATACCTGTGTATACCGTAGTTAAACTTCTAGATGCCAACTATAAAGAAAAAGATCTTGAAAAATAATCAGAGGAAAAAGACATTACTTTCATAAAAACAAGCTGACTCCTGACTCTGAAACAAAGAATCAGACAATGGCATGATAGCTTCAAATTACCAAATGAGGTAGTCAGTGGGAATGGTGGAGTGAGAGGTCTTTGGAAATCATGTTCCTCCATAAAAGCCATGAAAACGCTGAGAAAAATTGTCAAGATAAAACTTTTCAGAATTCTGCTGATTAACCAAAGGCTTGCAACAATTCAAGGAACACTTATGTAAAAAAGAAAAAAAAAACTATTTTGGTAAGAATGGGGTGAACCTGTGGTGTTTTTACCTAATTTGATGACTCTCCCCAGCACCTCCTTAGCTTTGGAAACCAACAAGTCATAGTGAAAACCAGTAGCCTAGCAGCCACTGGCAGGGGTAGGATAGGTTTGAAGCCCCCCGAAAAGACCATTCGTAGAGAACTATCATTACTTGATCTGTCTGCCAATTCCCTGGAAACCCTTATTAATAAAACTTGCCTTTATTTGGCCTGACCCAGACCATGCTCAGTGTGAACAGTGTTTTTCTTGGGGTTATTTGCTGAAAATGATTACAGCAATGGTTAACACTGCATCTCCTGAGTTCATGATAACAATTGGGGTAAACAATAAGCTGACCAAAATAACAAAAAAAGCTAGGGAATTAGATATTTATAGAAGACTTTGAAAACAGGTAACTTGTTCATGGGACTCCACACAAAGGTCTATGTGTATGCCCAAGTCTGTGTACATGCTCAGGAAAGACCTAAGAAAGTCCTAAGTTTCACATCTGGCTGAACTTGAGGCATTGCAAAAATACGGTGAAGGC